GATCTATATCTAGAGTAGACAGAAGCATCCATGTCTAGAGCAGACAGCAGCATCTATGTCTAGAGTAGACAGCAGCATCTATGTCTAGAGCAGACAGCAGCATCTATGTCTAGAGGAGACAGCAGCATCTATGTCTAGAGCAGACAGCAGCATCAATGTCTAGAGTAGACAGCAGCATCTATGTCTAGAACAGACAGCAGCATCTATGTCTAGAGTAGACAGCACCATCTATGTCTAGAGTAGACAGCACCATCTATGTCTAGAGTAGACAGCACCATCTATGTCTAGAGTAGACAGCAGCATCTATGTCTAGAGCAGACAGCACCATCTATGTCTAGAGTAGACAGCAGCATCTATGTCTAGAGCAGACAGCAGCATCTATGTCTAGAGTAGACAGCAGCATCTATGTCTAGAGTAGACAGCAGCATCTATGTCTAGAGTAGACAGCAGCATCTATGTCTAGAGTAGACAGCAGCATCTATGTCTAGAGTAGACAGCAGCATCTATGTCTAGAGCAGACAGCACCATCTATGTCTAGAGCAGACAGCAGCATCTATGTCTAGAGTAGACAGCACCATCTATGTCTAGAGTAGACAGCACCATCTATGTCTAGAGTAGACAGCAGCATCAATGTCTAGAGCAGACAGCAGCATCTATGTCTAGAGCAGACAGCAGCATCTATGTCTAGAGCAGACAGCAGCATCTATGTCTAGAGTAGAAAGCAGCATCTATGTCTAGAGCAGACAGCAGCATCTATGTCTAGAGCAGACAGCAGCATCTATGGCTAGAGCAGACAGCAGCATCTATGTCTAGAGTAGACAGCAGCATCTATGTCTAGAGTAGACAGCAGCATCTATGTCTAGAGTAGACAAAAGCATCTATGTCTAGAGTAGACAGCGGCATCTACGTCTAGAGTAGACAGCAGCATCTATGTCTAGAGTAGATAGCAGCATCTGTGTCTAGAGTAGACAGCAGCATCTGTGTCTAGAGTAGACAGCAGCATCTATGTCTAGAGTAGACAGCAGCATTTATGTCTAGAGTAGACAGCAGCATCTATGTCTAGAGTAGACAGCAGCATCTATGTCTAGAGTAGACAGCAGCATCTGTGTCTAGAGTAGACAGCAGCATCTGTGTCTAGAGTAGACAGCAGCATCTATGTCTAGAGTAGACAAAAGCATCTGTGTCTAGAGTAGACAAAAGCATCTATGTCTAGAGTAGATAGCAGCATCTGTGTCTAGAGTAGACAGCAGCATCTGTGTCTAGAGTAGATAGCAGCATCTGTGTCTAGAGTAGACAGCAGTATCTATGTCTAGAGCAGACAGCAGCATCTATGGCTAGAGCAGACAGCAGCATCTATGTCTAGAGTAGACAGCAGCATCTATGTCTAGAGTAGACAGCAGCATCTATGTCTAGAGTAGACAGCAGCATCTGTGTCTAGAGTAGACAGCAGCATCTGTGTCTAGAGTAGACAGCAGCATCTGTGTCTAGAGTAGACAGCAAGATCTATGTCTAGACTTAACAGCAGGATCTATGTCCAGTGAGCAGGATCTATTGAGAGCAGACAGGAGGATATGTGTCTAGACAGCACGATCTATGCAGAGTAGCCAGGCGATCTATGATCTAATTGCTACAAGAGTAAACATTGTTCACACATCAGACAATGGAATACACTCATCAGACAATATAATACACACATCAGACAATGTAATACACACATCAGGCAATGTAATACACAGATCAGACAATGTAATACACACATCAGACAATGTAATATACACATCAGGCAATGTAATACACACATCAGACAATGGAATACACACATCAGAAAATGTAATATACACATCAGACAATGTAATACACACATCAGACAATGTAATATACACATCAGACAATGTAATACACACATCAGACAATGGAATACACACATCAGACAATGGAATACACACATCAGGCAATGTAATACACACATCAGACAATGTAATATACACATCAGGCAATGTAATACACACATCAGACAATGGAATACACACATCAGACAATGTAATACACACATCAGACAATGTAATACACACATCAGATAATGTAATACACACATCAGACAATGTAATACACACATCAGACAATGTAATATACATATCAAACAATTTACACACACAGGCAATGTAATACACACATCAGACAAGGTAATACATGCATCAGACAATGTAATACACACATCAGACAATATACAAACATCAAAAAATATACACATAACACTAGTGAAGCTGTGATCAACATTGAGTGGAAAATAACACACACAAAACACTAATGAAGCTGTGATCAACACTGAGTGGAAACAACAAACATACAACACCAGTGAAGCTTTAAACAACACTAAGTGGAAGATAACAAATATAGAACACTAGTAAAGCTTTGATCAACACTAAGTGGAAACAACAAACATACAACACTAGTGAAGCTTTGATCAACACTAAGTGGAAGATAACAAATATAGAACACTAGTGAAGCTTTGATCAACACTAAGTGGAAACAACAAACATACAACACTAGTGAAGCTTTGATCAACACTAAGTGGAAGATAACAAATATAGAACACTAGTGAAGCTTTGATCAACACTAAGTGGAAGATAACAAATATAGAACACTAGTGAAGCTTTGATCAACACTAAGTGGAAACAACAAACATACAACACTAGTGAAGCTTTGATCAACACTAAGTGGAAGATAACAAATATAGAACACTAGTGAAGCTTTGATCAACACTAAGTGGAAGATAACAAATATAGAACACTAGTGAAGCTTTGATCAACACTAAGTGGAAAACAACAAACATACAACACTAGTTAGGCTTTGATCAACACTAAGTGGAAGATAACAAATATAGAACACTAGTGAAGCTTTGATCAACACTAAGTGGAAGATAACAAATATAGAACACTAGTGAAGCTTTGATCAACACTAAGTGGAAACAACAAACATACAACACTAGTGAGGCTTTGATCAACACTAAGTGGAAGATAACAAATATAGAACACTAGTGAAGCTTTGATCAACACTAAGTGGAAGATAACAAATATAGAACACTAGTGAAGCTTTGATCAACACTAAGTGGAAGATAACAAATATAGAACACTAGTGAAGCTTTGATCAACACTAAGTGGAAGATAACAAATATAGAACACTAGTGAAGCTTTGATCAACACTAAGTGGAAACAACAAACATACAACACTAGTTAGGCTTTGATCAACACTAAGTGGAAGATAACAAATATAGAACACTAGTGAAGCTTTGATCAACACTAAGTGGAAGATAACAAATATAGAACACTAGTGAAGCTTTGATCAACACTAAGTGGAAACAACAAACATACAACACTAGTGAGGCTTTGATCAACACTAAGTGGAAGATAACAAATATAGAACACTAGTGAAGCTTTGATCAACACTAAGTGGAAACAACAAACATACAACACTAGTTAGGCTTTGATCAACACTAAGTGGAAGATAACAAATATAGAACACTAGTGAAGCTTTGATCAACACTAAGTGGAAACAACAAACATACAACACTAGTGAAGCTTTGATCAACACTAAGTGGAAACAACAAACATACAACACTAGTAAAGCTTTGATCAACACTAAGTGGAAGATAACAAATATAGAACACTAGTGAAGCTTTGATCAACACTAAGTGGAAGATAACAAATATAGAACACTAGTGAAGCTTTGATCAACACTAAGTGGAAACAACAAACATACAACACTAGTAAAGCTTTGATCAACACTAAGTGGAAGATAACAAATATAGAACACTAGTGAAGCTTTGATCAACACTAAGTGGAAACAACAAACATACAACACTAGTGAAGCTTTGATCAACACTAAGTGGAAGATAACAAATATAGAACACTAGTGAAGCTTTGATCAACACTAAGTGGAAGATAACAAATATAGAACACTAGTGAAGCTTTGATCAACACTAAGTGGAAACAACAAACATACAACACTAGTGAAGCTTTGATCAACACTAAGTGGAAGATAACAAATATAGAACACTAGTGAAGCTTTGATCAACACTAAGTGGAAACAACAAACATACAACACTAGTTAGGCTTTGATCAACACTAAGTGGAAGATAACAAATATAGAACACTAGTGAAGCTTTGATCAACACTAAGTGGAAGATAACAAATATAGAACACTAGTGAAGCTTTGATCAACACTAAGTGGAAACAACAAACATACAACACTAGTTAGGCTTTGATCAACACTAAGTGGAAGATAACAAATATAGAACACTAGTGAAGCTTTGATCAACACTAAGTGGAAGATAACAAATATAGAACACTAGTGAAGCTTTGATCAACACTAAGTGGAAACATACAACACTAGTTAGGCTTTGATCAACACTAAGTGGAAGATAACAAATATAGAACACTAGTGAAGCTTTGATCAACACTAACTGAAAGAGAACAAACATACAACACTAGTGAGGCTTTGATCAACACTAAGAGGAAGATAACAAACATACAAAACTAGTGGAGCTGTGATCAACACTAAGTGGAAGATAACAAACATTCAACACTAGTGAAGCTTTGATCAACACTAAGTGGAAAATAACAAACATATAACACTTGTGAGGCTTTGATCAACACTAAGTGGAAGATAACAAACATACAACACTAGTGAGGCTTTGATCAACACTAAGTGGAAGATAACAAACATACAACACTAGTGAGGCTTTGATCAACACTAAGTGGAAACAACAAACATACAACACTAGTTAGGCTTTGATCAACACTAAGTGGAAGATAACAAACATACAACACTAGTGAGGCTTTGATCAACACTAAGTGGAAGATAACAAACATACAACACTAGTGAGGCTTTGATCAACACTAAGTGGAAGATAACAAACATACAACACTAAGTGGAAACAACAAACATACAACACTAGTGAAGCCAGGATGATGATGTAAAGCACAAGAAACCCCACTGACCTGGTACTGACACAAAGAACTTGACAGCATCTTTGTGTCCATGGAAGGAGAGCTGAGCTTGGGCCATGGAGCAGTAGGGGATCAGTGTGTTTGAGGCTGAACTCTCTATGCTGGAGTCACTGTAGACCCGAACTACGCCACCGGGTCGACTTCCAGAGGGGCCATCCATGCTGGTGGATGTGGCAATCATGGGCTGCTTGTTGTCTGAGGGGTTGGAATCAGCACAGTTACTCTGTGTGTGCGCGTGCATGCTAGTATGTGTGTGTGTTAGCATGTGAGGGGGTATATGTGTGTTAGAAATAGCAGATTTACTTGTGTGTGTGCAAGCGTGTGCTTGAGGGTGTTAGAACCAGCAGTTACTTGTGTATACGTGTGGTGCTAGAACCAGCAGTTACTTGTGTATACGTGTGGTGCTAGAACCAGAAGTTACTTGTGTATACGTGTGGTGCTAGAACCAGAAGTTACTTGTGTATACGTGTGGTGCTAGAACCAGCAGTTACTTGTGTATACGTGTGGTGCTAGAACCAGAAGTTACTTGTGTATACGTGTGGTGCTAGAACCAGAAGTTACTTGTGTATATGTGTGGTGGAGGATGCTAGAACCAGCAGTTACTTGTGTATACGTGTGTTGCTAGAACCAGCAGTTACTTGTGTATACGTGTGGTGCTAGAACCAGCAGTTACTTGTGTATACGTGTGGTGCTAGAACCAGAAGTTACTTGTGTATACGTGTGGTGCTAGAACCAGCAGTTACTTGTGTATATGTGTGGTGGAGGATGCTAGAACCAGCAGTTACTTGTGTATACGTGTGTTGCTAGAACCAGCAGTTACTTGTGTATACGTGTGGTGCTAGAACCAGAAGTTACTTGTGTATACGTGTGGTGCTAGAACCAGCAGTTACTTGTGTATATGTGTGGTGGAGGATGCTAGAACCAGAAGTTACTTGTGTATATGTGTGTTGCTAGAACCAGCAGTTACTTGTGTATACGTGTGTTGCTAGAACCAGCAGTTACTTGTGTATACATGTGGTGCTAGAACCAGCAGTTACTTGTGTATACGTGTGGTGCTAGAACCAGAAGTTACTTGTGTATACGTGTGGTGCTAGAACCAGCAGTTACTTGTGTATACGTGTGGTGCTAGAACCAGAAGTTACTTGTGTATATGTGTGGTGGAGGATGCTAGAACCAGCAGTTACTTGTGTATACGTGTGTTGCTAGAACCAGCAGTTACTTGTGTATACGTGTGTTGCTAGAACCAGCAGTTACTTGTGTATACATGTGTTGCTAGAACCAGCAGTTACTTGTGTATACGTGTGGTGCTAGAACCAGCAGTTACTTGTGTATACGTGTGGTGCTAGAACCAGCAGTTACTTGTGTATACGTGTGGTGCTAGAACCAGCAGTTACTTGTGTATACGTGTGTTGCTAGAACCAGCAGTTACTTGTGTATACGTGTGTTGCTAGAACCAGCAGTTACTTGTGTATACGTGTGGTGCTAGAACCAGCAGTTACTTGTGTATACGTGTGGTGCTAGAACCAGCAGTTACTTGTGTATACGTGTGGTGCTAGAATCAGCAGTTACTTGTGTATACGTGTGGTGCTAGAACCAGCAGTTACTTGTGTATACGTGTGGTGCTAGAATCAGCAGTTACTTGTGTATACGTGTGGTGCTAGAACCAGAAGTTACTTGTGTATACGTGTGGTGCTAGAACCAGAAGTTACTTGTGTATATGTGTGGTGGAGGATGCTAGAATCAGAAGGTACTTGTGTATACTTGTGGTGGAGGATGCTAGAATCATCAGGTACTTGTGTATATGTGTGGTGGAGGATGCTAGAATCATCAGGTACTTGTGTATATGTGTGGTGGAGGATGCTAGAATCATCACGTACTTGTGTATATGTGTGGTGGAGGATGCTAGAATCAGAAGGTACTTGTGTATACGTGTGGTGGAGGATGCTAGAATCATCACGTACTTGTGTATATGTGTGGTGGAGGATGCTAGAATCATCAGGTACTTGTGTATATGTGTGGTGGAGGGTGCTAGAATCATCAGGTACTTGTGTATATTTGTGGTGGAGGATGCTAGAATCATCACGTACTTGTGTATATGTGTGGTGGAGGATGCTAGAACCAGAAGGTACTTGTGTATACGTGTGGTGGAGGATGCTAGAATCATCAGGTACTTGTGTATATGTGTGGTGGAGGATGCTAGAATCATCAGGTACTTGTGTATATGTGTGGTGGAGGATGCTAGAATCATCAGGTACTTGTGTATACATGTGGTGGAGGATGCTAGAACCATCAGGTACTTGTGTATACGTGTGGTGGAGGATGCTAGAACCAGCAGGTACTTGTGTATACATGTGGTGGAGGATGCTAGAATCATCAGGTACTTGTGTATACGTGTGGTGGAGGATGCTAGAATCAGCAGTTACGTGTGTGTGTGTGTGTGTGTGCATGCGAGTGGGGGCTTAGAACTAGCACTTACAGTTTGTGTGCACATGCACTCATAAATACAGAATAAATGCTTGCTTGCTTGCCTCTTTGCATCCATCCATCCATCTGCCCACTCGCCCACCCACCCGTCAGGGGTCATCCCGGTTATGGGACATTACAATAATAAATAAATGATAATGAATAAGCAGGTCGGTGTATATTGACTCCTAACTAAACTCAGAGCTAGTGCAGACAAGCCGAGTGTCGACTTAACGCTGAACCCCAGTAGTTCAACAAAATGACTGAGCGAAGGGCCGATCATTGATTCTTGGCACAACATTTGTGTGACCTGGACGTCGTTTGACCAGACCTTTAGAATGTAGTATTTCAATGACAAGTTGTAATGACCAGTAGAAATGTGGCGTGTATTAGATGTTAGCTGTGATTCGTACAGTCCAGTGTCTGACTAAGTGTGTTAGTACTTGACAGTGTAAGTAGGAATTGTTTCCCTTAGATCTCATCTAGCAGATAGATTCATGGTAGCAGTTAGATTCCTTTTTGTAGTGATATCTCGTTATGGGAAACAAGGTCATACATTGTTTCTGGCAATGTCATCTGCCAACACAGCTCCAGCTCTAGCTAGGCGTGTGCCACAGCCTCCTTGGCATCGGGAGACAGCTGAGACAGCGCTGTACGGGACTGTGGTAGGAGCTCAGAGCTTATTTAATGAGTTCATATTTGTTTATATTAAAGACTGTATGTGTTCCACGGGTGTTTCGGGTTAGTGTGTTTCAGATTTATCTCTTATCAGCCTGCAGCCAGCCATAGATTTAGACCATAGACAAGTAGGTCGTTGACACATACATATAGACACACAAACATACATACTCACATACTTATTAACATAATACACACAAACTTACATACCTTCATAGAAGAAAGAGAGATGCAGAGAGAGAGAGATGCAGAGAGAGAGAGAGAGAGAGATGCAGAGAGAGAGAGAGAGATTCACAGAAAGAGATGAAGAGAGAGATGTAGAGAGAGATGCACAGGGAGAGAGATGTAGAGAGAGATGTATAGAGAGAGCATTGTAGAGAGAAATGCAAAGAGAGATGTATAGAGAGACGCAGAGAGAGATGCAGAGAAAGATGCAGAGAAAGAGAGATGTAGAGAGAGAAATGCAGAGACAGAGATGCAGAGAGAGAGAGAGAGATGTATGTAGAGAGATGCAGAGGGAGAGAGATGCACAGAAAAAGATGCAGAGAGAGAGATGTAGATTGAGATGCAGAGAGAGATGTAGAGAGAGATGCAGAGGGCGTGATGCAGAGAAAGAGAACGAACAAACGAACAAACAAACTTTATTTTCAAAGGGTTACAAATTGGGCACGCAGGCCCGTCTGACATTCGGCCCTTCTAGGCACTCGTTTTTCAGAGTACCAATACCTGTTATCAATAATGCATGTTGTGGATATAATAAAGAAATATAAATTATAGAATAATACATACACACATCATGTGTACACAATCTTACACACTCACACACACATACATATACTCTCACATTCTCATACATACACACTCATATACAGACATACCTAATACATACATACATACATAAACGGATATACATACATACACAAACAGAAAAGACACACATACATATATGGACATATATGCACACACACATTCCATACATACACACCGACACATGCATGCATGCATGCATACACACACATACAATCTCACACACACACACACACACACACTCTCTCTCTCACTCTCTCTCACTCTCACTCACTCACTCTCACTCACTCACTCTCACTCACTCTCACTCACTCACTCTCACTCACTCACTCACTCTCACTCACTCTCACTCATTCTCACTCACTCTCACTCTCTCTCACACTCACACCCTCCCTCCCTCACTCACTCACTCTCTCCCTCCCTCACTCACTCTCTCCCTCCCTCACTCACTCTCTCCCTCCCTCACTCACTCTCTCCCTCACTCTCTCCCTCCCTCACTCACTCTCTCCCTCTCTCTCTCTCTCCCTCACTCACTCTATCCCTCCCTCACTCACTCTCTCCCTCCCTCACTCACTCTCTCCCTCCCTCACTCACTCTCTCCCTCACTCTCTCCCTCCCTCACTCACTCTCTCCCTCCCTCACTCTCTCTCTCCCTCCCTCATTCACTCACTCTCTCCCTCACTCACTCCCTCCCTCACTCACTCAATCACTCACTCACTCACTCACTCACTCACTCACTCACTCTCACTCACTCTCTCCCTCCTTCCCTCACTCTCTCCCTCCCTCCCTCACTCTCTCCCTCCCTCACTCTCCCTCCCTCCTTACTCTCTCTCCCTCCCTCCCTCTCTCCCTCACTCACTCCCTCCCTCACTCCCTCCCTCACTCTCCCTCCCTCACTCTCCCTCCCTCCCTCACTCACTCTCCCTCCCTCCCTCACTCTCCCTCCCTCACTCTCCCCTTCCTCACTCTCCCTCCCTCTCTCCCTCCCTCTCTCTCTCTCAATCACTCACTCACTCTCTCACTCTCACTCTCTCACTCACTTACTCACTCACTCTCCCTCACTCCCCCTCACTCTCTCTCCCTCCCTCACTCTCTCTCCCTCCATCTCCCTCCCTCCCTTACTCTCCCTCCCTCCCTCTCCCTCCCTCTCCCTCACTCTCCCTCCCACCCTCTCTCTCTATCTCTCTCTCTCACTCACTCACTCACTCACTCACTCACTCTCTCTCTCTCTCTCTCTCTCTCTCTCACTCTCTCACTCACTCACTCACTTACTCACTCACTCACTCACTCTCTCTCTCTCTCTCTCTCTCTCTCTCTCTCTCTCACACACACACACACACACACCCCACCCACCCACCCCTCACACACACCCACACCCACCCTCCCACATGTAGAGACAGTGATACAGAGAGAGAGATGAAGAGAGATGCAAAGGGTGAGATGAAGACAGAGATATAGAGAGAGAGATGCAGAGAGAGAGAGAGATGCAGAGAGAGAGAAATGCAGAGAGAGAGAGAGAGATGCAGAGAGAGAGAGAGATGCAGAGAGAGAGAGATGCAGAGAGAGAGAGAGAGAGATGCAGAGATAAACAGAAGTACTTACTCTCAGTTAATGGGATGGACATGATGACTCCATTGGCTGTCCCAACCCACAGGCGACTGCAGGAGATCAACATGGCTGTCACCCGAACAAACGAGAAGCCCAGCTTTCCAGAACCTACAAATAGAGCATACAAACACATCTACATTAAACAACATTGGTGGTCAGCCATGACTGTCCAGTTTTATGAGTACGCACATGATGATGATGGGTACCAGCTAAAGTCCTGGGAAGTAAAAGTGGTCGGATTGATGATGACCATATCAACAATTTGGTGGATCAAATTATAATTCCAGCCTCACATACCGGATGTGCGTGAGTGTTGAGCGCTGGCCAGATCCCCTGTAACTCCTTGTTGTGCCTTTCTCCACAGACAGTAATGATTTATTTGCGTTTGCCCACTGTTCACTGGCTCCAAGAGGGCCCTCACAACGTCTAGAGGTGCAAAACCGGCCAGTCCATCTGCCTGCTTATGTGTGTGTGTGTGTCTGTATGTAATATTTATGTATTTATGTGGGTGTGTGTGTATGTATGTGGGTGTGTGTGTGTATGTGTGTGTGTTTGTATGCGGGTGTGTATGTACGTGTGTGAGAGTGATAGGCATGAGCATGTGTGTGTGCTTTTGTGTTTTTACTTGATGTTCATAATATATATATTATCATATGAAAATAACATGCTTTATTGATAAAATACAACAGCTGTGTGAAAGACGGGTGTTTAGAAGGGCCGAATGTAAGACGGGCCTGCATGCCCAATTTGTGACCCGTTGAAAATAAAGTTTGTTCTTTCATTGATTGGTTTGATGTACAGCTGCATATAAAGGGGCCTTAACTTTGACATGAGTGAGTGGATGTTGCTTAGTGTAACAAAGCCTGGTATATGATGCCACATCTAGTTTAAGCATGGAGGTGGAGGCAGTCACTGCAGCTTTTTTGCTGACTTTAGAAAGGTTGTACAAATGTCTAATTGTAACTGACTCACACAGCATGATGAGAAAGATGGAGACTGGCATGCTCCGTGCAGAGTGGCTAGCATCGTTTAAGAGCTCCCAGGTAGTTAGCGTCCTGTGGATTTTGTCCAGGATATACCAGTGTTTGAGGAAATGAACAGGCAGATTGGCTTGTTGTGCACAACTTGATGGTGAATGGATGCATGACAAGCCAGATGTTATATGAGCCCTTGGGGCTGAGTAAACAGTGCCAAAGCACAGATGGATCATTGTGGTCTCAAGGGAATGGTACTGCGAGAAGTGACCAGGTGATCGGGTCAATGATCAGCACTCAAGAGAATGGTACTGGGAGAAGTTACCAGGTGATCGGGTCGATGATCAGCACCCAAGAGAATGGTACTGCGAGAAGTTACCAGGTGATCGGGTCGATGATCAGCACCCAAGGGAATGGTACTGCGAGAAGTGACCAGGTGATCGGGTCAATGATCAGCACTCAAGAGAATGGTACTGCGAGAAGTTACCAGGTGATCGGGTCGATGATCAGCACTCAAGGGAATGGTACTGCGAGAAGTGACCAGGTGATCGGGTCAATGATCAGCACTCAAGAGAATGGTACTGCGAGAAGTTACCAGGTGATCGGGTCGATAATCAGCACTCAAGAGAATGGTACTGCGAGAAGTTACCAGGTGATCGGGTCAATGATCAGCACTCAAGAGAACGGTACTGCGAGAAGTTACCAGGTGATCGGGTCAATGATCAGCACTCAAGAGAATGGTACTGCGAGAAGTTACCAGGTGATCGGGTCGATGATCAGCACCCAAGGGAATGGTACTGCGAGAAGTGACCAGGTGATCGGGTCAATGATCAGCACTCAAGAGAATGGTACTGCGAGAAGTTACCAGGTGATCGGGTCGATGATCAGCACTCAAGGGAATGGTACTGCGAGAAGTGACCAGGTGATCGGGTCAATGATCAGCACTCAAGAGAATGGTACTGCGAGAAGTTACCAGGTGATCGGGAAAATAATCAGCACTCAAGAGAATGGTACTGCGAGAAGTTACCAGGTGATCGGGTCAATGATCAGCACTCAAGAGAATGGTACTGCGAGAAATTACCAGGTGATCGGGTCGATAATCAGCACTCAAGAGAATGGTACTGCGAGAAGTTACCAGGTGATTGGGTCGATGATCAGCACTCAAGAGAATGGTACTGCGAGAAGTTACCAGGTGATCGGGTCGATGATCAGCACTCAAGAGAATGGTACTGCGAGAAGTTACCAGGTGATAGGGTCGATGATCAGCACTCAAGAGAATGGTACTGCGAGAAGTTACCAGGTGATCGGGTCGATGATCAGCACTCAAGAGAATGGTACTGCGAGAAGTTACCAGGTGATCGGGTCGATGATCAGCACTCAAGAGAATGGTACTGCGAGAAGTGACCAGGTGATCGGGTCGATGATCAGCACTCAAGGGAATGGTACTGCGAGAAGTGACCAGGTGATCGGGTCAATGATCAGCACTCAAGAGAATGGTACTGCGAGAAGTTACCAGGTGATCGGGTCGATGATCAGCACTCAAGAGAATGGTACTGCGAGAAGTTACCAGGTGATCGGGTCGATGATCAGCACTCAAGAGAATGGTACTGCGAGAAGTTACCAGGTGATCGGGTCGATAATCAGCACTCAAGAGAATGGTACTGCGAGAAGTTACCAGGTGATCGGGTCGATGATCAGCACTCACGAGAATGGTACTGCGAGAAGTGACCAGGTGATCGGGTCGATGATCAGCACTCACGAGAATGGTACTGCGAGAAGTGACCAGGTGATCGGGTCGATGATCAGCACTCAAGAGAATGGTACTGCGAGAAGTGACCAGGTGATCGGGTCGATGATCAGCCCTCAAGGGAATGGTACTGCGAGAAGTGACCAGGTGATCGGGTCGATGATCAGCACTCAAGGGAAAGGTGAGATGGATATACAATCAGACTAATATTGGTGCCACTGAAATGGGAACTCTGCGCTTTCTGCTGAAGCTGGGAACAGATTGCTTATGGGAATGTCCCGAGTGCTGTGATGTTGATTCTTAATTCCCCCCCAAAAAAACAATTAAACGATGATGATGATGACAATAATGATATGATGGCTGATGAGGTCCTTGATCCTGCACCAACATGTAGCAAACCTTTTTCTCCTCTTAGCATTCACCAGCTGTAAACTCTGGCAGAAGGTTCTGGTTTTTGGGTGCAAATCTGTTTGACAGATCTGGCTTGTTAGTATACAAACCCTTGGTGCCTCACCTCTCAGGCTGATGGATTCTGACTTCAGAGAAAACTCCTCTTATTAGCCATCTTGTATGATGTGCTTGTCAGGAACACAGCTGGGTCTATTCCCCCCTCCCCCCCCCCCATCCCCTTCTCCCTTGTGCTTGTCAGGAAGACAGCTGGGTCTACCCCCCCCCCCCCCCTTGTGCTTGTCAGGAAGGCAGCTGTGGTCTATCCCCCCTCCCCCCTTGTGCTTGTCACGAAGACAACTGTGGTCTATCCTCACCCCCCTTGTGCTTGTCAGGAAGGCAGCTGGGTCTATCCCCCCCCCCTCTTCCTTGTGCTTGTCAGGAAGGCAGCTGGGTCTATCCGCCCCACCCTCTCACTTGTGCTTGTCAGGAAGGCAGCTGGGTCTATCCACCCCCCCCCTCTCCCTTGTGCTTGTCAGGAAGGCAGCTGTGGTCTATCCCCCCCCCTCCCCTCTCCCTTGTGCTTGTCAGGAAGACAACTGTGGTCTATCCCCTCCCCTCTCCCTTGTGCTTGTCAGGAAGACAACTGTGGTCTATCCCCCCCATCTCTCCCTTGTGCTTGTCAGGAAGGCAGCTGGGTCTATCCCCCCCTCTCCCTTGTGCTTGTCAGGAAGGCAGCTGGGTCTATCCCCCCCTCTCCCTTGTGCTTGTCAGGAAGACAACTGTGGTCTATCCCCCCCTCTCCCTTGTGCTTGTCAGGAAGACAACTGTGGTCTATCCCCCCCCCCCTCTCCCTTGTGCTTGTCAGGAAGGCAGCTGGGTCTATCCCCCCCCCCCTTTTGTGCTTGTCAGGAAGACAACTGTGGTCTATCCCCGACCCCCTCTCCCTTGTGCTTGTCAGGAAGACAACTGTGGTCTATCCCCGACCCCCTCTCCCTTGTGCTTGTCAGGAAGACAGCTGTGGTCTATCCCCGACCCCCTCTCCCTTGTGCTTGTCAGGAAGACAACTGTGGTCTATCCCCACCCCCTCCCCCAGAACCCTTGCAGGGATCATCAAACCATGTGTGTCTAGTCTAGGAATACATGCAACATTGTCTAGCAAGTTTTATACAAGTAGTGAGCACCTTGCTAATGAACCAACGAACAAACAAACTTGATTTTGTGGCTGATGAGGTCCTTAAACCTGGCACAACATGACACAAATGATATCACAGATAAGTCTAGCGCTGCAATACATCTGCAGAAAGCTTCCTACAAGTTTTGGACAGATGGCGGAACACTCACCCAACATCTTACTGACATAGGGCTCGACATCCACGTCCTGCAGGTGTTGCTGGGTGTAGGCGTGGTAAAGGCGCAGGGTGCTGTCGAGGCGGATGGACACCCACACCCCGTTCCCCAGCCAGCACATCTGTCTCACTAGGCTCTCCTTCCGCGGGTGAGCATCGAAAGTTTTCTAAGTATGAGAATCAATGACATTGGTGAGTGGTGACAGTTTTATAAATAGATGAATCAATGATCTGGGTGAATGGTGACAGTTTTCTAAATATGAGAATCAATAACACAGGTGAGTGGTGACAGTTTAAAAAATATGAGAATCAATAACATGGGTAAGTGGTGACAGTTTAAAAAATATGAGAATCAATTACATGGGTAAGTGGTGACAGTTTAAAAAATATGAGAATCAATTACATGGGTGAGTGGTGACAGTTTAAAAAATATGAGAATCAATTACATGGGTGAGTGGTGACAGTTTAAAAAATATGAGAATCAATTACATGGGTGAGTGGTGACAGTTTAAAAAATATGAGAATCAATTACATGGGTGAGTGGTGACAGTTTAAAAAATATGAGAATCAATTACATGGGTGAGTGGTGACAGTTTAAAAAATATGAGAATCAATTACATGGGTGAGTGGTGACAGTTTAAAAAATATGAGAATCAATTACATGGGTGAGTGGTGACAGTTTTAAAATATGAGAATCAGTGACATGGGTGAGTGGTTATAGCTATCTAAATATAAAAATCATTGAGAAACCTGAGTGGCAGCTCTACTGTTGTGAACCAAGAGATGTACATTCACAATTACTGATTGGAATTTACAGAAGTAAATTGAAGAAGAAGGAATCACAGGAGGCAGCGAAAAAGCTAAGACAAGCCTGCCTTCTGACCTCTTCATCTTTCTGTGACGTTTCAAACAGTGAAGACAAGCCTGCCCTCCGACCTCTTCATCTTTCTGTGACGTCTCAAACAGTGAAGACAAGCCTGCCTTCTGACCTCTTCATCTTTCTGTGACGTCTCAAACAGTGAAGACAAGCCTGCCTTCTGACCTCTTCATCTTTCTGTGACGTCTCAAACAGTGAAGACAAGCCTGCCTTCTGACCTCTTCATCTTTCTGTGACGTCTCAAACAGTGAAGACAAGCCTGCCTTATGACCTCTTCATCTTTCTGTGATATCTCAAACAGTGAAGACAAGCCTGCCTTCTGACCTCTTCATCTTTCTGTGATATCTCAAACAGTGAAGACAAGCCTGCCTTCTGACCTCTTCATCTTTCTGTGACGTCTCAAACAGTGAAGACAAGCCTGCCTTCTGACCTCTTCATCTTTCTGTGACGTCTCAAACAGTAAAAACAAGCCTGCCTTCTGACCTCTTCACCTTTCTGTGACTTCTAAAACAGTGATGACAAGATGTTTAGATGTTACACACTGGACAAGCTGCTAACAGAATAAACAGAAAGTTCCGGAAACTACAAGACAAAAGAAAACATCTCACCTGTATCATCATAGACAGTGGACAGACAATGTGGATTTTGTTTTTGTAGCCACACCAGACACGGCGTCCACCCACGACTGTCATACAGCGGATTGACTGCTTGGGTTGGCCAAGGACAATCAAGTGGAAGTTGACAAGGTCCCACTGACCATCTGGGACAGACAATCACTGATTACATATATACAATGGGCAGGGCTCTTAGCCAAATTCACTTTTTTTAAAGTTATTGTTCAAGGCTACTACAGGAGGCATAACGGTGCTTGATTGGTGCAGGTACAGCACACAGTGTTTGTACATCCTGACCAGACCTGGTGGCAGATGGGGGCCAGTAAAAGACATCATGACAACTATCCTGACCAGACCTGGTGGCAGATGGGGGCCAGTAGAAGACATCATGACAACTATCCTGACCAGACCTGGTGGCAGATGTGGGCCAGTAGAAGATATCATGACAACTATCCTGACCAGACCTGGTGGCAAATGGGGGCCAGTAGAAGACATCATGACAACTATCTTGACCAGACCTGGTGGCAGATGGGGGCCAGTAGAAGACATCATGACAACTATCTTGACCAGACCTGGTGGCAGATGGGAGCCAGTAGAAGATATCATGACAACTATCTTGACCAGACCTGGTGGCAGATGGGAGCCAGTAAAAGATATCATGACAACTATCTTGACCAGACCTGGTGGCAGATGGGGGCCAGTAGAAGATATCATGACAACTATCTTGACCAGACCTGGTGGCAAATGGGAGCCAGTAGAAGATATCAAGACAACTATCTTGACCAGACCTGGTGGCAAATGGGGGCCAGTAGAAGATATCATGACAACTATCTTGACCAGACATGGTGGCAGATGGGAGCCAGTAGAAGATATCATGACAACTATCTTGACCAGACCTGGTGGCAGATGGGGCCAGTAGAAGACATCATGACAACTATCTTGACCAGACCTGGTGGCAGATGGGAGCCAGTAGAAGATATCAAGACAACTAATATAAGTAACACTGAATGCATGGTCATCTGCCTGGTACTAGTAGTTGACTAGGACACTAACATTCTAATTTGTTTTATGGTAAGGGCAAAACATTCACATAGATCAGTCCTTTTCTGTACATGGCTATGTCGTGATATTTGATGAAAAATGTTGCAGAGAGACCAGAATTGACCCAACAGTTGATGATTTGATGAACTCAGATGAAACAAACACAGACGTACTAACAGCTGTACTGATCAAAACAAACAAGAAAAGAAACATGTAATTTTTGGAACAGTAAAGTAGGCAACAAAGACACAAAATACACAAAGGAAAAATACCAGGCAAGAGAGACAGGGAAAGATAAGAATGGAAAGCTGAAAGGAGTGAGTGAAATTATTTTGTTAACATAAAATATTAAATAAGAGTGTTAAAAACGTCCTGCAGCTCTAAACCAAGCAAAATCTTGCCTAGTTTTTTACTGTTTCCAACTCATACCCATAGTTGTCAAGTCTATAACCTTCCTAATCAGCTCAGATCTTGCCTAGTTTTTACTGTTTCCAACTGACATTCAGTTTTTAATAGCTCGTCATATTTACCCTTTTCAGCTGTAAACAACATGCAGGCACGAGTTAATTGTAAGCACTAGTAATAAACACACAATGAACTCTCACTTCACACTGTACCATGCTGCAAAGCAAGCAAACAATGAGACAATAAACTGTGGACTATTTGCCTACTCACAAATTACCAGACATTTTCATATCCATTTAAAATGACGTTAGCTAACAATCAATTGCACAGTTAAATGACTGTTCATATTTTAAGTGACAGTAACCGAAAAATGCAAGTCTGGCAAAAATCCATTGTTATAAAGTTCTAGAGTTTTTCAGGGGCCTTGAGTGGAAAACTGGGATCTTCATGGCTTCAAGGGTTGCTACCAGTCCTGGGTTAGACTCATGACATATACGCAGTCGGACAGACAATCACTGATTACATATCTAACATAAGTCTGATTAATTGTGAAGCTGAGACTGTACAAAATGCTAACTCGAATCTGAGAAACTAGCATCCTTGTCTGTCTATAATATCCACACGAATCTGAGAAAGTGTGCCAGGTACTTCAATAACACTCCAACAAACAGACTCCCTACCTGCAGCTCTGTGAAAGATGGCAACTGTCCCGTCAGACATGGACGCCAGCACCCGCCCTTTCACATGGCTGTGGATGGATAACAGACCTTTGTATTATCTGGTTACACAGCTGTGATGGGCAGACAAGTATACACATTTGTATAACATGGCTGTGATGGGCAGACAAGTATACACATTTGTATAACATAGCTGTGATGGGCAGACAAGTATACACATTTGTATAACATGGCTGTGATGGGCAGACAATTATACACATTTGTATAACATGGCTGTGATGGGCAGACAAGTATACACATTTGTATAACATAGCTGTGATGGGCAGACAATTATACACATTTGTATAACATAGCTGTGATGGGCAGACAAGTATACACATTAGTATAACATAGCTGTGATGGGCAGACAATTATACACATTTGTATAACATAGCTGTGATGGGCAGACAATTATACACATTTGTATAACATAGCTGTGATGGGCAGACAATTATACACATTTGTATAACATAGCTGTGATGGGCAGACAATTATACACATTTGTATAACATAGCTGTGATGGGCAGACAAGTATACACATTTGTATAACATAGCTGTGATGGGCAGACAGAGGGGGGGGGGGGTATTCTTTGTTCTCCAAAATGGAGCCCTGAAACCCATACAGGGAGCATAGAATTTCAAGAATACTTTATGACTTATAATCCACAAAATTATCCATAGTCATCCATGTATTCACCCATCATGCAGACAATCAACCACACATTCATCCAAATACTTGTCTAAAACATGTCTGGTATAAGCCACATAAATATCCAGTGACACTTATATAGCATACAGACAATCCACACTGAACTTACACAATGGCCAGGACAGAGTCTCTCAGTTTGACAGAATGAATGCATCTACTCCAGTCAGTCACAGATGAGTGAACATAGATGCTGAAACACAGAGATGGATTAGTGGATGTGAAAATACAAATGTGGATGAGAGGGCATATATGCTGAAATACAGGCATGAACAAGAGGATTTACATGTCAAAATACAGAATGGATAAATAGATCTATGTGGATGAGTTGGCAAATATGCTGAAATAAACACATGGATGAGAAGACATAAGTGCTGAAATACAGACATGGATGAGAAGATATAAGTGCTGAAATACAGACATGGATGAGAAGACATAAGTGCTGAAATACAGACATGGATGAGAAGATATAAGTGCTGAAATAAAGACATGGATGAGAAGACATAAGTGCTGAAATACAGACATGGATGAGAAGACACATGTTGAAATACAGACATGGATAAGTGAACATAAGTGCTGAAATACAGACATGGATGAGTGAACATAAGTGCTGAAATACAGACATGGATAAGTGAACATAAGTGCTGAAATACAGACATGGATAAGTGAACATAAGTGCTGAAATACAGACATGGATGAGTGAACCTAAGTGCTGAAATACAGATATGGATGAGTGAACCTAAGTGCTGAAATACAGACATGGATAAGTGAACATTAAGTGCTGAAATACAGACATGGATAAGTGAACATATATGTTGAAATACAGACATGGATGAGTGAACCTAAGTGCTGAAATACAGACATGGATAAGTGAACATTAAGTGCTGAAATACAGACATGGATAAGTGAACATATATGTTGAAATACACATGTTAGCAATGACATAAACCTTGAACATAAAGTTGATTACAAAGATGATCTAACATTCCCAGTGAAACATAGCTGATTTTAATAAACAGAATATAATATCAGCCAGTGGTGAAACTGTAAGACAGAAAGGAGAGAAAACAAAAACCTGTCAGGAATGTAGAAGTACACAGGCAGCTAGAGCAGAAGATTGTGTTGACATGAAAGCCTTAACAATAAAATAGCTCAGTACAGAAGATGAAATAACCAACAAGTGAATAAATGAATGCATGAATAAATAAATAAATGAATGAGAGGATAAAAAAACTAATAAATTATTGAGGCAATGAATGAAGCAAAGAATTAATTATTGAACCAATGAATCACTGAACCAATGACTGAATGAACCAAAGAATAAATGAAACAATAAATGAATGAACCAGTGAATGAACCAATGACTGAATCAGGTAATAAAGGAAAGAAGCAATGTATGGAAAAAAACCAACAAAAGAATGAACCAATGATTGAATGAGGTAATGAATTAGTGAGTATATGATTACCTCCCATTGTGAGTGCCCATCCACATGGTGGGGAGGACACTGCTCATCCTGGGTGTGCTCTCCTGCAGGACCTCCTCAGTGTCCTCACCCAGCAGGGACCTGCCACTAGCACTGAGGTCTGACGGGGGGCCGCTGAGCCCTGGTCCTGGTGAGACAGCAGGGCTGCCCTCGGCTCGCACTAGTCTGGGCTGAGGCAGCTCACCGGAAACTTCTGTCCAGCTGGAGTCCTCTCCTGGGTGACAGTCAAGTGTTCAAGCGAAGGTTTTACACATGATGCCATACCCACTGTTATATAGACAAACTGACACTCACTCACTCACTCAGTAAAAGGTCGACATCATGAAAGCCACCTTTACTTCCCAGGATAATTCCTGCTACCCATGAGGTCAGCCCACCAAGAGCCCTAGGTCAGTTACTAATATCCATCTCAATGTGGACTGGAACCCAAGATGCTGGACCAGAAGGCCAGTGTGTATCCACGGCTGTCTGACAGACCAACATGACATCAAGGGATCTGGGTGGGGACCTTACCTGTCTGACAGACCAACATGACATCAAGGAGTCTGGGTGGAGACCTGACCTGTCTGACAGAGCAACACCTGACCTGTCTGACAGACCAACATGACATCAAGGAGTCTGGGTGGGGACCTGACCTGTCAGGCAAACCAACACCTGACCTGTCTGACAGACCAACATGACATCAAGGAGTCTGGGTGGGGACCTGACCTGTCAGGCAAACCAACACCTGACCTGTCTGACAGACCAACATGACATCAAGGAGTCTGGGTGGGCACTAGCATCAGACTGGACCTGTCTGGCATTAGGGCTGAGTCAACATTCCACAGTGTTTAAACAGTAACAGTTTCTGTGCATATTTCAAGAGTAGAGGTTTTAAAGGCAAGAGGATTGACTTAATGGCATCAGATGTCTTCTTAAATAGTGCAACTTCTCTAAGCACAACAGTACAACCTCTCTAAGCACAACTGAGTAACCTCTCTAAGCACAACAGGACAACCTCTCTAAGCACAACAGGGCAACCACTCTAAGCACAACTGACAACCCCTCTAAGTACAACTGGACAACCTCTATATGTACAATTGGACAACTCTCTAAGCACAATTAGGCAACCTCTCTAAGTACAACAGTATAACCTCTCTAAGTACAACTGTGCAAACTCTAAAAGAACAACTGTGCAACCTCTAAGTACAACAGAGCAACCTCTCTAAGTACAGCTGGGCAACCTCTCAAAGAACAACTGTGCAACCTCTCTAAGCACAATTGGACAAACTCTTAAAGCACAACAAGGCAACCTCCCTAAGCACAAGAGCTGGCCAGCTGCTGAGAATCTTGCACTGAGCACACCACCCCCAGCACCAATGATCATTCCCAGGAAACCTGCAGAACAATGACAATCCTCAACTGAATGCTGCTGCTGACCCACAACCTTCTGACTGTCAGGCAAATGCCTAAACCACTGTGCCACTGAGAACTTTGCCTTGATAAAGCCAGTCTTTGTATGAAGAGAAATTCCCTGTGTGAGGAAGAACAATAGACCCACTGTTTCCATTAAAAAGCATTTGTAAACTTTCCACTAACTAGGGGTGTTTTCTTCAGAGTGCATCCGCATGAGAGTTGAGGAACCCACAGCCTGCATATAAATGAGCCAGATCTGTAGAACAGAAGTTCAGGCAAAACTCAAGTTATGGAACAAGATAACATTCCAGTAGTGGACGAACAACCAGAATTTTCCATTAGAGTTTAGAGCCGGTGAACACGAAGAAGAAGAAAAGAGATCAAGTCCAGATCTGGTAAATGTGATATTGATGCCCTTTGAGCCGACTAGTCCCACTCTGCCAGCGTTAGGTGTCCCCAGTCAGACTTCCCTCTTACCTTGACATTGCTCCCCAGCCGCCACAGTCTCATCACAAGCAGGTTCACTGTTGCCACGGAGACAGTTGTCATCCACCTGGGCACCAATGTCTGCAGGTGCTGAACAAGATGATCAATGGACAAATAATCAATGACTTCTAGCATGGTAGTAGCCAGGCTCATACAAGATGATCAATGAACAAATCATCAATGACTTCTGGCATGGTAGCTGCCAGGCTCATACAAGCAACATAGACAACTGAGATTTAGTCACGCGGGGAAATATGATAAAATTACATACTTGCACAGCATATTCTTGCATGCAGGCACACACACATATACATACACACACCTGCAAGCATGCCTGCGTATATACAGCCAAAACAAAGCTGCTACATATCTTTAATCATTGCTGGACTGGTGGCAAAAGTTCCCCAGATATGGAGAGAAGCAATCTCGATACCTCTCCTAAAATCAGGAAAGGAAAGTTCCAATGCCTCCAGCTACTGACCAGTCAGTCGTACCAGCTGCCTCTGTAAAATAATGGAACGCATTGTTGACCTAGGACTTGGAAAGTGAAAACATTTTCATACCTCAGCAGGCAGGATTTAGACAGTACTACTCCACAGAAGATCAGACATATCTTTCACAAGAAATTGAGGATGCCTTCTAGGAAAAGAAGCTGGTGCTAGCGGCATTGACAGATCTGAATGGGAATATGTACAAATGGGTAAAAGCATTCTTTACAACAGAATAGCCCAAGTACAGATTGATGGACTCAAGAGTAAGACAGTTTTGCTGCACCTTTCTGCTGTTCCAGAATGGACCACTTGGAGTGAGGCATATAAGTTTCCAATACACATCAAGACAGAAGTAAAAGGAGTATTTCACAAGGAAGAACAAAACAGTATGCAGCGTAAAATAGCCATAATCACTTGATGATGGATACATGCAGAATCTATGTCCGTATTGGTGGTAGAGCACGTATGGTTTATAACTGTGTGCAATGATGCTGATTCACAGCTCCCGATTTTTTTACTAACAGGAAAGCACTGTTTCAACTGTGATGCAGAAATTCAAGCCATCAAGATAGAAGCAGAGAAACTACTAAATATATTAGTATATTTTACAACCAGTGGTATTCCTGACAGATGCAAAGAGATACTTCAGGCATTCCTGTCTGGAAAATTACCAGGTATATGAACACTACTATGTGAACTAGGCAACCGGTGTAAGGTAGTCATGCAGTGGATACCATCCCACTGTGAAGTTCTTGAAAAAGAAAACGCTGCTAAACTAGCTAAGGAAGGTGCAACTGAAGAACAACCCAACGCATCAATCAACAGAGGAAAAGAATATTTAAATAAATCAGAAAGCCACAAAAACTGGCACAAGACAATTACCATTCTAGGGACAGACCAGAGCACTTGCCTAACAGAGCACAATCAACTTTGCAGTCACATGTACATACAATTTAAGACTAGCGAATCAGTCATGTGTACCTGGCACCTGAGACAAGAGAGTGCAGACACACACAAGTCTGGGAGTACACAGAGATAAGAATAAACGATGGGCATATAGTAAATAGCACTAATAACAGTAACAACAAAGCAGCAGCAACAACAACAACGGTGCACTAGAGACACCTCTTGTGTAGCAATGAGAGACCTTCTTGACTTCTCTACCATGAACTACAGGATCAAGATCTGGAGGGCTCGTGTATTCCTCATGATAAGCTCAGATCTGAAGCACACTTTGCACCAGATGCTCTTGAGGAAAATGGGCAACAGACTATAAAGTAGCAAATGATGGCTGGGTAGGGCAGAGGATGACATCATGCAGGTACAGATATCCATCTAGGTGAGGAATGATAACAGCATCTAAAGCGCCTAATCTCACATTCTCCGGGGTCGTGACGAGTGACAGGAGTTGTCAGGAGCAGAATCCTGATGCTGTCAACGACGAGGTATGGGACCTTATCACTGACAAGTCAGATGAGACAGATGTGGTGATCTTCACAGATGGGTCCATTATACGAGGACATAAGAGTGCATGGGCATTTACAGCTCGCTCTTCAGGCAGAACAGTTCAGGAAGCCAGCGGTGCCTTCTCCATGACCACTAGCAGCACGACGATGGAGGTGATGGCGGTGACATGTTGCTGGGATCACAGGACTATTCCAGCGTGTGTGTGCTAAGTGATTCTTTGAGCATGATCTGGCGGGTCAAGGCAGGCTGGTTACGCAGACAGTAGACTGAGTCATTGCAAAACTCTCCTGTGTGTGCAGTTACTTTTATATTTGTCCCAGGGCATGCCTGTTGATAATGATAGAGCCAACAGACTGATAGGTGCCACATTAATTTCAGATGTCCGGTCCATGGATCAGCCACACATTGTCAATGCCCTCAGAGAGATAGGACGTTCTGAGCATTTTGAAAACAATGTCTGAAAACAATGTGTCCATATCATTGTTAAGAATACGAGAACTGGGAGTAAAGATTGGCACAGCCAAGCATGAGAAGCTCACCAGATGCACATAAAGTCTTTTCAACCAGCACAGGACTGGCACTATTAACCGCATCATGCTGATGATAGGTTAAAGGGGGAATCTGAGCACCTATGGATGTGTCCGGAGTGCTGCGAAGATAATCAAACTCATAACTCAGTGTGGAGACAGAGCAGACACACACAAGTCTGGGAGTACATAGAGGTAAGAATGGAGACGGAGTAGACAAACACAAGTCTGGGACTACTTAGAGGTAACAATACACGACGGGCATATAGTAAATAGCACTAATAACAATAACAACAACAGCAGCAACAAATTGGAGAGACAGTAGACATACCTGTAGCTGCACTGTGTCCACCCTTAACTGCATCTACAGGACTGGATCCTGTCGTCTCCACCACTGTGTCTCCTGCGACTACAACAACACCAGCTGTCAGAGTGTCTTCTGTAACTGGGTAGTCAGTCTCCAGCACACCTGAAAACAGGACAACACTGCAGTCAGCACAAACTACAGCTTCTGTTGCTCCAATCTGGTTGATAACTTAGAAAAAACAGCCAGCAGTTTATACAGTGCCCTCCTACTAGAGTGTCCAGTCTGTTAAACTGTTGGCCTTTTTGCTGCAACCACAGTCTGGTCAACTGTTGGTCTCTTTAGGGCAATAACAGTTTGGTCAACTGTTGGTCTCTTTGCTGCAACCACAGTCTGGTCAACTGTTGGTCTCTTAGGTGCAATAACAGTCTGGTCAACTGTTAGTTTCTTTGGTGCAATCATAATCTGGTCAACTGTTGGCCTCTTTGCTGCAACCACAGTCTGGTCAACTGTTGGCCTCTTTAATGCAATAACAGTCTGGTCAACTGTTGGTCTCTTTCTGCAACCACAGTCTGGTCAACTGTTGGCCTCTTTAATGCAATAACAGTCTGGTCAACTGTTGGTCTCTTTGGTGCAATAACAGTCTGGTCAACTGTTGGCCTCTTTGGTGCAATAACAGTCTGGTCAACTGTTGGTCTCTTTGGTGCAATAACAGTCTGGTAAACTGTTGGCCTCTTTGCTGCAATAACAGTCTAGTCAACTGTTAGTCTCTTTGGTGCAACAACAGATACAAGTCTCCCCTTACCTGGCACACATCAGTAGATAGACAAGACAAAAAAGGTATATATGAGACAAGACACAAGTCTCCCCATACCTGGCACACATCAGTAGATAGAAAGGACAAAAAAGGTATCTCCGAGACAAGACACAAGTCTCCCCATACCTGACACACATCAGTATATAGACAAGACAAAGAAGGTATATCCGAGACAAGACACAAGGCTCCCCATACCTGACACACATCAGTATATAGACAAGACAAAGAAGGTATATCCGAGACAAGACACAAGTCTCCCCATACCTGACACACATCAGTATATAGACAAGACAAAGAAGGTATATCCGAGACAAGACACAAGTCTCCCCATACCTGACACACATCAGTAGATAGACAAGACAAAGAAGGTATATCCGAGACAAGACACAAGGCTCCCCATAAATGGCACACACCAGTAGATAGACAAGACAAAGAAGGTATATCCGAGACAAGACACAAGTCTCCCCATACCTGACACACATCAGTATATAGACAAGACAAAGAAGGTATATCCGAGACAAGACACAAGTCTCCCCATACCTGACACACATCAGTAGATAGACAAGACAAAGAAGGTATATCCGAGACAAGACACAAGGCTCCCCATACCTGGCACACATCAGTAGATAGACAAGACAAAGAAAGTATATCCGAGACAAGACACAAGGCTCCCCATACCTGGCACACATCAGTAGATAGGCAAGACAAAGAAGGTATATCCGAGACAAGACACAAGTCTCCCCATACCTGGCACACATCAGTAGATAGACAAGACAAAGAAGGTATATCCGAGACAAGACACAAGGCTCCCCATACCTGGCACACATCAGTAGATAGACAAGACAAAGAAGGTATATCCGAGACAAGACACAAGGCTACCCATACCTGACACACATCATTAGATAGACAAGACAAAGAAGGTATATCCGAGACAAGACACAAGTCTCCCCATCTCCCCATACCTGACACACATCAGTATATAGACAAGACAAAGAAGGTATATCCGAGACAAGACACAAGTCTCCCCATACCTGACACACATCAGTATATAGACAAGACAAAGAAGGTATATCCGAGACAAGACACAAGGCTCCCCATACCTGACACACATTAGTATATAGACAAGACAAAGAAGGTATATCCGAGACAAGACACAAGTCTCCCCATACCTGACACACATCAGTAGATAGACAAGACACAAGGCTCCCCATACCTGACACACATCAGTATATAGAAAGGACAAAAGAGGTATATCCGAGACAAGACACAAGTCTCCCCATACCTGACACACATCAGTATATAGACAAGACAAAAAAGGTATATCCGAGACAAGACACAAGGCTCCCCATACCTGGCACACATCAGTATAAAGACAAGACAAAGAAGGTATATCCGAGACAAGACACAAGGCTCCCCATACCTGGCACACATCAGTAGATAGACAAGACACAAGTCTCCTCATACCTGGCACACATCAGTAGATAGACAAGACACAAGGCTCCCCATACCTGGCACACATCAGCAGATAGACAAGACACAAGTCTCCCTATACCTGGCACACATCAGTAGATAGACAAGACAAAGAAGGTATATCCGAGACAAGACACAAGGCTCCCCATACCTGGCACACATCAGTATATAGACAAGACAAAGAAGGTATATCTGAGACAAGACACAAGTCTCCCCATACCTGGCACACATCAGTAGATAGACAAGACAAAGAAGGTATATCCGAGACAAGACACAAGTCTCCCCATACCTGGCACACATCAGTAGATAGACAAGACACAAGGCTCCCCATACCTGGCACACATCAGTAGATAGACAAGACACAAGTCTCCCCATACCTGGCACACATCAGTAGATAGACAAGACACAAGTCTCCCCATACCTGGCACACATCAGTAGATAGACAAGACAAAGAAGGTATATCTGAGACAAGACACAAGTCTCCCCATACCTGGCACACATCAGTAGATAGACAAGACAAAGAAGGTATATCCGAGACAAGACACAAGGCTCCCCATACCTGGCACACATCAGTAGATAGACAAGACACAAGGCTCCCCATACCTGGCACACATCAGTAGATAGACAAGACACAAGGCTCCCCATACCTGACACACAGTAGATAGACAAGACACAAGTCTCCCCATACCTGGCACACATCAGTAGATAGACAAGACACAAGGCTCCCCATACCTGGCACACATCAGTAGATAGACAAGACACAAGTCTCCCCATACCTGGCACACATCAGTAGATAGACAAGACACAAGGCTCCCCATACCTGGCACACATCAGTAGATAGACAAGACACAAGGCTCCCCATACCTGGCACACATCAGTTGATAGACAAGACACAAGGCTCCCCATACCTGGCACACATCAGTAGATAGACAAGACACAAGTCTCCCCATACCTGGCACACATCAGTAGATAGACAAGACACAAGGCTCCCCATACCTGACACACATCAGTAGATAGACAAGACACAAGGCTCCCCATACCTGGCATACATCAGTATATAGACAAGACACAAGGCTCCCCATACCTGACACACATCAGTAGATAGTCAAGACACAAGGCTCCCCATACCTGGCACACATCAGTAGATAGACAAGACACAAGGCTCCCCATACCTGGCACACATCAGTAGATAGACAAGACAAAGAAGGTATATCCGAGACAAGACACAAGGCTCCCCATACCTGGCACACATCAGTAGATAGACAAGACACAAGGCTCCCCATACCTGGCACACATCAGTAGATAGACAAGACACAAGGCTCCCCATACCTGACACACAGTAGATAGACAAGACACAAGTCTCCCCATACCTGGCACACATCAGTAGATAGACAAGACACAAGGCTCCCCATACCTGGCACACATCAGTAGATAGACAAGACACAAGTCTCCCCATACCTGGCACACATCAGTAGATAGACAAGACACAAGGCTCCCCATACCTGGCACACATCAGTAGATAGACAAGACACAAGGCTCCCCATACCTGGCACACATCAGTTGATAGACAAGACACAAGGCTCCCCATACCTGGCACACATCAGTAGATAGACAAGACACAAGTCTCCCCATACCTGGCACACATCAGTAGATAGACAAGACACAAGGCTCCCCATACCTGACACACATCAGTAGATAGACAAGACACAAGGCTCCCCATACCTGGCATACATCAGTATATAGACAAGACACAAGGCTCCCCATACCTGACACACATCAGTAGATAGTCAAGACACAAGGCTCCCCATACCTGGCACACATCAGTAGATAGACAAGACACAAGGCTCCCCATACCTGGCACACATCAGTAGATAGACAAGACACAAGGCTCCCCATACCTGGCACACATCAGTAGATAGACAAGACACAAGGCTCCCCATACCTGGCACACATCAGTAGATAGACAAGACACAAGGCTCCCCATACCTGGCACACATCAGTAGATAGACAAGACACAAGGCTCCCCATACCTGGCACACATCAGTAGATAGACAAGACACAAGGCTCCCCATACCTGGCACACATCAGTAGATAGACAAGACACAAGGCTCTCCATACCTGGCACACATCAGTAGATAGACAAGACACAAGGCTCCCCATACCTGGCACACATCAGTAGTTAGACAAGACACAAGGTTCCCCATACCTGGCACACATCAGTAGATTGACAAGACACAAGGCTCCCCATACCTGGCACACATCAGTAGATAGACAAGACACAAGGCTCCCCATACCTGGCACACATCAGTAGATAGACAAAACACAAGTCTCCCCATACCTGGCACACATCAGTAGATAGACAAGACACAAGGCTCCCCATACCTGACACACATCAGTAGATAGACAAGACACAAGGCTCCCCATACCTGGCACACATCAGTAGATAGACAAGACACAAGTCTCCCCATACCTGGCACACATCAGTAGATAGACAAGACACAAGTCTCCCCATACCTGGCACACTGGCGATACACAATATATGTGAGACGGACACAGAGAATGTCTCAAGGATGTCGGCGGGGTTGTTGGCATCCATGACTGACACCTGGCTGGAGTCATGGTTTGCTGTGCACACCCAGACCATGCTGGACATTTGTTCCTCCTCCCTGGCTCTCAGCTCCTGCTCCTGGACATACATCACAAACACACATCAGAACAGACTCAATATCTTATAGACAAACTACACTGTTACATCACAAACACACATCAGAACAGACTCAATATCTTATAGACAAACTACACTGTTACATCACAAACACACACATCAGAACAGACTCAATATCTTATAGACACACTACACTGTTACATCACAAACACACATCAGAACAGACTCAATATCTTATAGACACACTACACTGTTACATAACAAACACACATCAGAACAGACTCAATATCTTATAGACAAACTACACTGTTACATCACAAACACACATCAGAACAGACTCAATATCTTATAGACAAACTACACTGTTACATCACAAACACACATCAGAACAGACTCAATATCTTATAGACACACTACACTGTTACATCACAAACACACATCAGAACAGACTCAATATCTTATAGACAAACTACACTGTTACATCACAAATACACATCAGAACAGACTCAATATCTTATAGACACACTACACTGTTACATCACAAACACACATCAGAACAGACTCAATATCTTATAGACACACTACACTGTTACATCACAAACACACATCAGAACAGACTCAATATCTTATAGACACACTACACTGTTACATCACAAATACACATCAGAACAGACTCAATATCTTATAGACACACTACACTGTTACATCACAAACACACATCAGAACAGACTCAATATCTTATAGACAAACTACACTGTTACATCACAAACACACACACCAGAACAGACTCAATATCTTATAGACACACTACACTGTTACATCACAAACACACACATCAGAACAGACTCAATATCTTATAGACACACTACACTGTTACATCACAAACACACATCAGAACAGACTCAATATCTTATAGACAAACTACACTGTTACATCACAAACACACATCAGAACAGACTCAATATCTTATAGACACACTACACTGTTACATCACAAACACACACCAGAACAGACTCAATATCTTATAGACACACTACACTGTTACATCACAAACACACACACCAGAACAGACTCAATATCTTATAGACACACTACACTGTTACATCACAAACACACATCAGAACAGACTCAATATCTTATAGACAAACTACGCTGTTACTTCACAAACACACACCAGAACAGACTCAATTTCTTATAGACAAACTACACTGTTACATCACAAACATACATCAGAACAGACTCAATATCTTATAGACACACTACACTGTTACATCACAAACACACACCAGAACAGACTCAATATCTTATAGACACACTACACTGTTACATCACAAACACACATCAGAACAGACTCAATATCTTATAGACACACTACACTGTTACATCACAAACACACACCAGAACAGACTCAATATCTTATAGACAAACTACACTGTTACATCACAAACACACATCAGAACAGACTCAATATCTTATAGACAAACTACACTGTTACATCACAAACACACATCAGAACAGACTCAATTTCTTATAGACAAACTACACTGTTACATCACAAACACACATCAGAACAGACTCAATATCTTATAGACAAACTATACTGTTACTTAACAAACACACATCAGAACAGACTCAATATCTTATAGACACACTATACTGTTACATCACAAACACACACACCAGAACAGACTCAATATCTTATAGACACACTACACTGTTACATCACAAACACACACATCAGAACAGACTCAATATCTTATAGACACACTACACTGTTACATCACAAACACACATCAGAACAGACTCAATATCTTATAGACAAACTACACTGTTACATCACAAACACACATCAGAACAGACTCAATATCTTATAGACACACTACACTGTTACATCACAAACACACACCAGAACAGACTCAATATCTTATAGACACACTACACTGTTACATCACAAACACACACACCAGAACAGACTCAATATCTTATAGACACACTACACTGTTACATCACAAACACACATCAGAACAGACTCAATATCTTATAGACAAACTACGCTGTTACTTCACAAACACACACCAGAACAGACTCAATTTCTTATAGACAAACTACACTGTTACATCACAAACATACATCAGAACAGACTCAATATCTTATAGACACACTACACTGTTACATCACAAACACACACCAGAAACAGACTCAATATCTTATAGACACACTACACTGTTACATCACAAACACACACATCAGAACAGACTCAATATCTTATAGACACACTACACTGTTACATCACAAACACACACCAGAACAGACTCAATATCTTATAGACAAACTACACTGTTACATCACAAACACACATCAGAACAGACTCAATTTCTTATAGACAAACTACACTGTTACATCACAAACACACATCAGAACAGACTCAATATCTTATAGACAAACTATACTGTTACTTAACAAACACACATCAGAACAGACTCAATATCTTATAGACAAACTACACTGTTACATCACAAACACACATCAGAACAGACTCAATTTCTTATAGACAAACTACACTGTTACATCACAAACACACATCAGAACAGACTCAATATCTTATAGACAAACTATACTGTTACTTAACAAACACACATCAGAACAGACTCAATATCTTATAGACAAACTATACTGTTACATCACAAACACACATCAGAAAAGACTCAATATCTTATAGACAAACTATACTGTTACATCACAAACACACACCAGAACAGACTCAATATCTTATAGACACACTACACTGTTACATCACAAACACACACATCAGAACAGACTCAATATCTTATAGACAAACTATACTGTTACATCACAAACACACATCAGAACAGACTCAATATCTTATAGACAAACTATACTGTTACATCACAAACACACATCAGAACAGACTCAATATCTTATAGACACACTACACTGTTACATCACAAACACACACCAGAACAGACTCAATATCTTATAGACAAACTACACTGTTACTTAACAAACAAACAGGTGTTTTTCTTACATTTAACAGACCACAACAGACTTAATATCTTATAGACAAACTAAACTGTTAACAAACAAACAAATGTTTTTCTTACATTTAACAGACCAGAACAGACTTAATATCTTATATACAAACTAAACTGTTACCTAACAAACAAACAAACAAATGTATTTCTTACATTTAACAGACCAGACAAGACTGAATTATCTTATATACAAACTAAACTGCTACTTGACAAAGAAACAAACAAATGTGTTTTTTACATTCAACAGACCAGAACAGACTGAATTATCATATATACAAACAAAAAAATGTTTTATATTTAACAGACCAGAACAGACTGAATTATCATATTTACAAACAAATGTTTTACATTTAACAGACCAGAACAGACTGAATTATCATATTTACAAACAAATGTTTTACATTTAACAGACCAGAACAGACTGAATTATCTGAATAAACTGTCACATACACAGACTGAACTGTCACATACTTAGACTGAACTGTCACACACATAGACCAAGCAGTCACATACACAGACTGAACTGTCACATACACAGACCAAGCAGTCACATACACAGACTGAACTGTCACATACTTAGACTGAACTGTCACATACATAAACCAAGCAGTCACATACACAGACTGAGCTGTCACATACATAGACCAAGCAGTCACATACACAGACTGAACTGTCACATACTTAGACTGAACTGTCACATACATAGACCAAGTAGTCACATACTTAGACTGAACTGTCACATATATAGACTGAACTGTCACATACACAGACTGAACTGTCACATACACAGACTGAACTGTCACATACAAAGACTGGACTGTCACATACAAAGACTGGACTGTCACATACAAAGACTGGACTGTCACATACACAGACTGAGCTGTCACAGACTTAATTGTCACATACACAGACTGAACTGTCACATACATAGACCAAGCAGTCGCATACACAGAACTTCCGGTTAAAATGGACGCTAGACAGCGGCGCTGTTCGGAGCGGAGGCAAATTTTTTGCTTCTGCCGGACGGTGGCCGAAGTATTTTTGCTCCATTTGTAGACTGGATATAGTTTCGTCGCCTAGCTTCTGAGTTGAATGCATGGCGTGACCCTGTGAGCTGCGGATTGCATTTGGAATGTTTTTTCGACTGTGACCAACGTGGTGTGAATTGTAGATTCAGAAAATGGCGCGATGCCGGTCGTGCAATGCTGGCGGGACCCGTATTAAAATTGATCGCCCGGGCAACTGCTGATCTGTTGGCGACAAGTTCTGCTATCATCAATGATGAACTACATTTCTAATGTTGGACTGTTTGTGTTAGCACTTCGGATGGCTACCATATGCGTTAATGCAAGTGTATGCTAGATATGCTGAGACAGCAGTCTGTCAATCTTTCCACAAGGGACTGTGATAAACATTCTGTGTGTTTTTCGCTGGCACAGGAGCGGAGCAAAGATGTGGCGACCCGTTTGCTATGAAGCTGAAACTAAGACTACCAGACTACCAGACTACCATACACAGACTGAACTGTCACATACATAGACCAAGCAGTCACATGCACAGACTGAACTGTCACATACTTAGACTGAACTGTCACATACTTAGACTGAACTGTCACATATATAGACTGAACTGTCACATACACAGACTGAACTGTCACATACAAAGACTGGACTGTCACATACACAGACTGAGCTGTCACATACACAGAATGAGCTGTCACATACATAGACTGAGCTGCCACATACACAGAATGAGCTGTCACATACACAGACTGAGCTGTGACATACAGACTGAGCTGTCACACACACAGAATGAGCTGTCACATACACAGAATGTGCTGTCACATATATAGACTGAGCTGTGACATACACAGACTGAGCTGTCACATACACAGATGGAACTGTCACATACATAGACTGAGCTGTCATATACACAAACTGACTTGTCACAGACACAGACTGAACTGTCACATACATAGACTGAGCTGTCACATACAAAGACTCAGCTGTCACACACAAAGACTGAGCTGTCACATATACCTAATGAGCTGTTACACACAGTCTCAAGATATGGCATCTGCCTCGAGTGCTGAAGGTCCCAGATTCAAACCCAGGTGAAGGCTCGAATTTATTTCTCACGGACTTCTAGTATTTTTCCCCAGTCTTTGAGTAGTAAGATCAGAGGCAAGTGTGTATTTTTGCACAGGTAAAAAAATACCTTGGAGTTGTATATTGAAAAAGAGTAGCCTAAGAGAGCTTGCAGGGCAAATTTTTGAGTTAAAAATCTACTCAAAAATTATTTCAGGATCCTCGCCAGTGCAACGGAGTTCGTGAACTGGGCTGAGATTCTTCAGACTCATGTTAGAAGTAGAACAGAGCACTTATGGGTTCATACGCATGTGTCATGATGTTGATCCCTTGACTAAACTGAACTAAACTAAACTCAGCTGTCATGTAGACCGACATAAATCTCCCTTACATAGCCTGAACTGTCACATACCCAGTCGACAGACACAACAGTTGACATACACAACAGTTGACAGACACAACAGTTGACAGACACAACAGTTGACAGACACAACAGTTGACAGACACAACAGTTGACAGACACAACAGTTGACAGACACAACAGTTGACAGACACAACAGTTGACAGACACAACAGTTGACAGACACAACAGTTGACAGACACAACAGTTGACAGACACAACAGTTGACAGACACAACAGTCGACAGACACAACAGTTGACAGACACAACAGTTGACAGACACAACAGTTGACAGACACAACAGTTGACAGACACAACAGTTGACAGACACAACAGTTGACAGACACAACAGTTGACAGACACAACAGTTGACAGACACAACAGTTGACAGACAACAGTTGACAGACACAACAGTTGACAGACACAACAGTTGACAGACACAACAGTTGACAGACACAACAGTTGACAGACACAACAGTTGACAGACACAACAGTTGACAGACACAACAGTTGACAGACACAACAGTTGACAGACACAACAGTCGACAGACACAACAGTCGACAGACACAACAGTTGACAGACACAACAGTTGACAGACACAACAGTTGACAGACACAACAGTTGACAGACACAACAGTTGACAGACACAACAGTTGACAGACACAACAGTTGACAGACACAACAGTTGACAGACACAACAGTTGACAGACACAACAGTTGACAGACACAACAGTTGACAGACACAACAGTTGACAGACACAACAGTTGACAGACACAACAGTTGACAGACACAACAGTTGACAGACACAACAGTTGACAGACACAACAGTTGACAGACACAACAGTTGACAGACACAACAGTTGACAGACACAACAGTTGACAGACACAACAGTTGACAGACACAACAGTTGACAGGTAAGGACTAGAATGTCTATCATGCCAGCACTGACCTTGAGTTCCTTGAGTAGATTATCTCCCTGCAGTTGACTCTCCACTGAAGGATCCGGTGGGGAGACCGAAAATGTGACACCTGAGTCTCCCTGGCTGTTCTTTAAGCCGGTTAGATTGACACCGGCAGCACACCAGATCTAGAGCAAAGAATTCATACATAAGCAATGGACACAACTCCATGAATAATTCACACAGATGGCACATGTGACACTAGAAATGGACCTCACTCCATGATTAATTCCCACAGATGGCACATGTGACATTAGCAATGGACCTCACTCCATGAATAATTCACACAGATGGCACATGTGACATTAGTAATGGACCTCACTCCATGAATAATTCACACAGCTGGCACTTGTGACATTAGTAATGGACCTCACTCCATGAATAATTCACACAGTTGGCACATGTGACATTAGCAATGGACCTCACTCCATGAATAATTCACACAGATGGCACATGTGACATTAGTAATGGGCCTCACTCCATGAATAATTCACACAGATGGCACATGTGACATTAGCAATGGACCTCACTCCATGAATAATTCACACAGTTGGCACATGTGACATTAGCAAAGGACCTCACTCCATGTAGAGTTCATGCCCATCATACAGGATACATCAGTAACAAAAGGAGTGGAGCATTCGGCGGCTAGACTCATGTTTCTGTACACTAATGGGTCATCAATGGATCATGAGGTTGACATCATGTCAGACCCCTTTCATTGCCAGAACTTTACATGGCACCCATTTAAGATCAAACTAAACTATAGCCCAGTCTCTCCTGACAGCCCAAACATCTGGTGTTAAAATCTACATCTAAGCTCATCTCTTTGGGTCAAAAGTGACCCCTTGGCTGCCAGGGTCACACAGCCTTAAATGGGTGCTAGGTAGCATCCAGGGAAGTAAAGGCAGGCAGCTTGAGGATGACTACTACAGCTGATTGGTTGAGATGAGGCTAGCATCACATGACCATAGCAGCATTGGTCTAAACAAGGCTGCTGCAATCACTCCCTTTTCTGGAACCTTCTGTTCTGTCTCACAGGAAACTAACCAGCTGGGCTGTAGAGACAGGTTGTCTGCCTCTAATCCAGGCAGGCCTGTTTTTATTCATGGCGTCAACAGTTTAGGATTTTAACATCAGTCCCCATAATCCTAGGATGTTGAACTGGATGCCTAGCCTTGTGGAAAAGTAAAGAGCACTGCTCATGTTGACCTTGGTAGCGGAAAACTGGAAAGAGGTGGAATATGCTCAGATTACATTTCAATGAGAGAACCTAACCACAAAATGATTGTGATACCATGATTTTAGCATACCTGGGTGAATACCGGTATGCCTGGTGCTGCTGAGTGCCTTGTGTTACACTACCTGGGTGACTACCTGTATGTCTGGTGCTGCTGAGTGCCGTGTGTTACACTACCTGGGTGACTACCTGTATGCCTGGTGCTGGTGAGTGCCTTGTGTTACACACTGTATGCCTGGTGCTGGTGAGTGCCTTGTGTTACACTACCTAGGTAACTACCTGTATGCCTGGTGCTGGTGAGTGCCTTGTGTTACACTACCTGGGTGACTACCTATATGCCTGGTGCTGCTGAGTGCCTTGTGTTACACTACCTGGGTGACTACCTGTATGCCTGGTGCTGGTGAGTGCCCTGTGTTACACTACCTGGGTGACTACCTGTATGCCTGGTGCTGGTGAGTGCCCTGTGTTACACTACCTGGGTGACTACCTGTATGCCTGGTGCTGGTGAGTGCCCTGTGTTACACTACCTGGGTGACTACCTGTATGCCTGGTGCTGGTGAGTGCCTTGTGTTACACTACCTAGGTAACTACCTGTATGCCTGGTGCTGGTGAGTGCCTTGTGTTACACTACCTGGGTGACTACCTATATGCCTGGTGCTGCTGAGTGCCTTGTGTTACACTACCTGGGTGACTACCTGTATGCCTGGTGCTGGTGAGTGCCCTGTGTTACACTACCTGGGTGACTACCTGTATGCCTGGTGCTGGTGAGTGCCTTGTGTTACACTACCTGGGTAACTACCTGTATGCCTGGTGCTGGTGAGTGCCTTGTGTTACACTACCTGGGTGATTACCTGTATGCCTGTTGCTGGTGAGTGCCTTGTGTTACACTACCTGGGTGACTACCTGTATGCCTGGTGCTGGTGAGTGCCTTGTGTTACACTACCTGGGTGACTACCTGTATGCCTGGTGCTGGTGAGTGCCCTGTGTTACACTACCTGGGTGACTACCTGTATGCCTGGTGCTGCTGAGTGCCCTGTGTTACACTACCAGTGGTTGATACAGGTGGTCAAGACTGTAGTGATTTCACAGAGTTTGTGCTGAGAGTTCCCCAGCTGCTGCTGAAAGGAGACTACAGCACCTATGTAAAGCAAGGAAAACCACAGATAAAACAAAAGCTCACCTTCCAGTCGTTGGTGTCTGTGTCAAACAAAGGCCTGCAGTAGACAGGAACCGGCACCGGCACCTGGAACCTATCAGTCTCCTTGCCACTGACAGTGAACTTGGCTGGCAGGCTCCAGCCGTAGGCTTGCATCCGACCATCATCTTTCTTCACCAGGGCCCTGACTTGCTTGTACTGCTCTAGCCTCTCCTTCTCTCTCTCCTCCTTAGATTTCTCTGATGATCTGTCAAATGAAACCAACTCAAAATAAAAAACACACTCTTCCAATTACTTCCAGTGTATTTGTGATTTTCACATGACAGCATCGATGACTGAAATCTATATGTGATAAAAAAGATATTTATTAAATCTAAATGTGATATGTGAGATACCAGACATGACACCCTCAAATAATGATAAATCTAAATGTGATATGTGAGATACCAGACAAAACATCAATGAATGATAAATCTAAATGTGAAATGTGAGATATCAGACATGACAGCATCAATGAATAATAAATATAAATGTAATAAGTGAGATATCAGACATGACAGCATCAGTGACTACCAGCAACAAACATGCAGACTTACAAATTGTTCAACTGAAGACATGAGACTACCAGCAACAACCATGCAGACTTACACATTGTTCAACTGAAGACATGAGACTACCAGCAACAAACATGCAGACTTACACATTGTTCAACTGAAGACATGAGACTACCAGCAACAAACATGCAGACTTACACATTGTTCAACTGAAGACATGAGACTACCAGCAACAAACATGCAGACTTACACATTGTTCAACTGAAGACATGAGACTACCAGCAACAAACATGCAGACTTACACATTGTTCAACTGAAGACATGAGACTACCAGCAACAAACATGCAGACTTACACATTGTTCAACTGAAAACATGAGACTACCAGCAACAAACATGCATACTTACACATTGTCCAGCTAAAGACATGAGACTACCAGCAACAAACATGCAGACTTACACATTGTCCAGCTAAAGACATGAGACTACCAGCAACAAACATAAGGACTTACACATTGTCCAGCTAAAGACATGAGACTACCAGCAACAAACATGCAGACTTACACATTGTCCAACTAAAGACATGAGACTACCAGTAACAACCAGGCAGACTTACACATTGTCCAACTGAAGACATGAGACTACCAGTAACAACCAGGCAGACTTACACATTGTCAAACTGAAGACATGAGATTACCAGTAACAACCAGGCAGACTTGCACATTGTTCAACTGAAAACATGAGACTACCAGCAACAAACATGCAGACTTACACATTGTTCAACTGAAGACATGAGACTACCAGTAACAACCATGCAGACTTACACATTGTTCAACTGAAAACATGAGACTACCAGCAACAACCATGCAGACTTACACATTGTCCAACTGAAGACATGAGACTACCAGTAACAACCAGGCAGACTTACACATTGTCCAGCTAAAGACATGAGACTACCAGCAACAACCATGCAGACTTACACATTGTTCAACTGAAAACATGAGACTACCAGCAACAAACATGCAGACTTACACATTGTTCAACTGAAAACATGAGACTACTGGCAACAAACATGCAGACTTACACATTGTCCAACTAAGACATGAGACAACCGGCAACAATCATGCAGACTTACACATTGTCTAACTAAGACAAGAGACTACCGGCAACAATCATGCAGACTTACACATTGTCCAGCTAAAGACATGAGACTACCAGTGACACACATGCAGACACACATTGCCCAGCTAAAGACATGAGACTACCAGCAACAAACATGCAGACTTACACATTGTCCAGCTAAAGACATGAGACTACCAGTGACAAACATGCAGACTTACACATTGTCCAGCTAAAGACATGAGACTACCAGCAACAAACATGCAGACTTACACATTGTCCAGCTAAAGACATGAGACTACCAGCAACAAACATAAGGACTTACACATTGTCCAGCTAAAGACATGAGACTACCAGCAACAAACATGCAGACTTACACATTGTCCAACTGAAGACATGAGACTACCAGCAACAACCAGGCAGACTTACACATTGTCCAGCTAAAGACATGAGACTACCAGTGACAAACATGCAGACTTACACATTGTCCAGCTAAAGACATGAGACTACCAGCAACAAACATAAGGACTTACACATTGTCCAGCTAAAGACATGAGACTACCAGCAACAAACATGCAGACTTACACATTGTCCAACTGAAGACATGAGACTACCAGCAACAAACATGCAGACTTACACATTGTTCAACTGAAAACATGAGACTACTGGCAACAAACATGCAGACTTACACATTGTCCAACTAAGACATGAGACAACCGGCAACAATCATGCAGACTTACACATTGTCCAACTAAGACATGAGACAACCGGCAACAATCATGCAGACTTACACATTGTCCAGCTAAAGACATGAGACTACCAGTGACACACATGCAGACACACATTGCCCAGCTAAAGACATGAGACTACCAGTGACACACATGCAGACACACATTGCCCAGCTAAAGACATGAGACTACCAGCAACAAACATGCAGACTTACACATTGTCCAGCTAAAGACATGAGACTACCAGCAACAAACATAAGGACTTACACATTGTCCAGCTAAAGACATGAGACTACCAGCAACAAACATAAGGACTTACACATTGTTCAACTGAAGACATGAGACTACCAGCAACAACCAGGCAGACTTACACATTGTCCAACTGAAGACATGAGACTACCAGAAACAACTAGGCAGACTTACACATTGTTCAACTGAAGACATGAGACTACCAGCAACAACCAGGCAGACTTACACATTGTCCAACTGAAGACATGAGACTACCAGAAACAACCAGGCAGACTTACACATTGTCCAACTGAAGACATGAGACTACCAGAAACAACCAGGCAGACTTACACATTGTCCAACTGAAGACATGAGACTACCAGAAACAACCAGGCAGACTTACACATTGTCCAACTGAAGACATGAGACCACCAGTGACAAACATGCAGACTTACACATTGTTCAACTGAAGACATGAGACTACCAGCAACAAACATGCAGACTTACACATTTTACACATTGTTCAACTGAAAACATGAGACTACCAGCAACAACCATGCAGACGTACACATTGTCCAACTGAAGACATGAGACTACCAGCAACAACCATGCAGACTTACACATTGTTCAACTGAAAACATGAGACTACTGGCAACAAACATGCAGACTTACACATTGTCCAACTAAGACATGAGACAACCGGCAACAATCATGCAGACTTACACATTGTCTAACTAAGACAAGAGACTACCGGCAACAAACATGCAGACTTACACATTGTCCAGCTAAAGACATGAGACTACCAGTGACAAACATGCAGACTTACACATTGTCCAGCTAAAGATATGAGACTACCAGCAACAAACATGCAGACTTACACATTGTCCAGCTAAAGACATGAGACTACCAGCAACAAACATAAGGACTTACACATTGTCCAGCTAAAGACATGAGACTACCAGCAACAAACATGCAGACTTACACATTGTCCAACTGAAGACATGAGACTGCCAGTAACAACCAGGCAGACTTACACATTGTTCAACTGAAAACATGAGACTACCAGCAACAAACATGCAGACTTACACATTGTCCAACTGAAGACATGAGACTACCAGTAACAACCAGGCAGACTTACACATTGTTCAACTAAATACATGAGACTACCAGCAACAACCATGCAGACTTACACATTGTCCAACTGAAGACATGAGATTACCAGTAACAACCAGGCAGACTTACACATTGTTCAACTGAAAACATGAGACTACTGGCAACAAACATGCAGACTTACACATTGTCCAACTAAGACATGAGACAACCGGCAACAATCATGCAGACTTACACATTGTCTAACTAAGACAAGAGACTACCGGCAACAATCATGCAGACTTACACATTGTCCAGCTAAAGACATGAGACTACCAGTGACACACATGCAGACACACATTGCCCAGCTAAAGACATGAGACTACCAGCAACAAACATGCAGACTTACACATTGTCCAGCTAAAGACATGAGACTACCAGTGACAAACATGCAGACTTACACATTGTCCAGCTAAAGACATGAGACTACCAGCAACAAACATGCAGACTTACACATTGTCCAGCTAAAGACATGAGACTACCAGCAACAAACATAAGGACTTACACATTGTCCAGCTAAAGACATGAGACTACCAGCAACAACCAGGCAGACTTACACATTGTCCAACTGAAGACATGAGACTACCAGAAACAACCAGGCAGACTTACACATTGTCCAACTGAAGACATGAGACTACCAGAAACAACCAGGCAGACTTACACATTGTCCAACTGAAGACATGAGACTACCAGAAACAACCAGGCACACTTACACATTGTCCAACTGAAGACATGAGACCACCAGTGACAAACATGCAGACTTACACATTGTTCAACTGAAGACATGAGACTACCAGCAACAATCATGCAGACTTACACATTGTCCAGCTAAAGACATGAGACTACCAGTAACAAACATGCAGACTTACACATTTTCCAGCTAAAGACATGAGACTACCAGCAACAAATATGCAGACTTACACATTGTCCAACTGAAGACATGAGACTACCAGCAACAAACATGCAGACTTACACATTGTTCAACTGAAGACATGAGACTACCAGCAACAAACATGAGGACTTACACATTGTCCAGCTAAAGACATGAGACTACCAGCAACAAACATGCAGACTTACACATTGTCCAGCTAAAGACATGAGACTACCAGCAACAAACATGCAGACTTACACATTGTTCAACTGAAGACATGAGACTACCAGGAACAACCATGCAGACTTACACATCATCCAGCTGAAGACAAAAGACTACTAGCAACAAACATACAGACTTACACATTGTCCAGCTGAAAGTCGTAGGTGCTGGACCTGGTGAGAGAGCCCGACGGTCTGTGGCTGGACTCCTCGGTGGATGACTGGAAGTGTAGTGTGGAACTGCTGGGTTTGAGGGCTGTCGCTGCTGGAGCATGTCTGCCTGGCTTGCTGGAGGAGCTGAATAGGCTGCCAAAACTGAAGGCAGCAAATATCACCATTAGGGAAGGATAAATCTGACTCAGTAGTTGCACAACCCATGAAACCAGTTTGTTCATCCAATTAGTAAAGAAAACAACGAACCACGGTGACTACATTCAACCTGCTTCTTGGTAAGCTGAGGTCACAAGTGTGGTCTGTGGAGATTAACCAGCTTCAAAAGCCTTGAGCTAAGCACCAGCAAGCAAATTAAAGTCTACATTCTGAGAGCAGTAGCAACATCTAGATATGAGTCATGGATGATCTTGCAATCATTAAGGAAGGAAATAGGCACTTTTAAGCAGACTCTCAGAATACCATGGACAAAGAAGAAGAAATACAAACATCTTTAAACAATCTGAACATCAAGGAAAACTAGCTTGTAAACCTCATCTTGTTTTGGAAACTGAAATACTTTGGCCATATCAAATATCATGATGTTTTAGAAAGGAACAGCAGAAGAGTGCTTGGTGTGGGGTATGAAAGACAGTCAGACCAGCAGGAAGATGGGCAGAGGACATAAGAGACACTTGGTCAGGAAAGCTGGTGAGAACTACTTTCTTTCAGTAACTGCAAGACGGAAGCAACATTCTATACATTACCTGCTAAGTGATACTGATGGTGGTTTGTGATGTTTTACTCATATTTGTCTTGTAATAGACAGGTCCTGCCTTGTATCTTGTTGCCACCCATGTCAGTCGGGATTAATGCCCCTGAGGTCTCTGCAGCAGTGAGATGATGATGCTTACTTCCAGCAGAGGACCAGTAATTTAAATGACTGGCGCTTGATCTGTTGGCTGCTGCCTACTGTCAGCCTGGCCATCTCTTGCACTGATGTCTCGCTGTTATCTTCTTGCTGGGTCTCCTCCTGTTTGATTTTACTGAGAAGTGACCGACATGTATGCAAACTGCCGTATCACCTGGCAGATCTCTATGATGTGAGGCATCCAGTAGAGTTAATTCAGAACAGTCTAGGACAGTCCTGTAAGTGGATCCTACATCTTCTTTATGTCAAAAGTAATTTGCTTTACCGAAGGGCAGGAAAAGATAGAGATGAGTTTGGTCAACTTGTCGTACCTTCCCCCTACCGGAAGCAAATTTTGCACATGGAACATACTACCCCATTCTCTGGACATATGGGGATTGGGGCTACACAGCAACGTATCGCCTGCCATTATTACTGGCCTGGGATCAATGGGGACATTAAGTGGTGTGTAAAGTCATGATCAGAATGCCAAAGGGTAGCTCCCAGGCATTGGACAGCTCCAGTAACTTTAGGTGACATGCCGTTGATGGGCACTCCATTTGAGAGAGTAGCAGTCGACATAGTCGATCCATTCCCTTCCACCAAAAAAAGAAATTCATTCATTCTAACTTTTGTGGATACATGTTCGATGTGGGGAGAAGTGATTGCCCTGCCCGCCATCGACTGAAAGCAAGTAGCTGAGGCCCTCATGACCATTTTTACAAGATTTGGATTTCCTAATTAAATTTTGACAGACGGCTCTCAGTTGCCAGGGAAACTGATGGGAGAAGTCTTCCAGATCCTACAGACCCGGCATATCCACACTAGTCCATATCACCCACATTCAAGCGGCCAGGTGGAAAGATTTAACGGAACCTTAATGACGATCCTGAGGAAGTTAGCTCAGGAGAAACCTTAGGTTTGGGATGAGTACCTGCCAGCGGCCTTATTTGCCTACAGAGAGGTACCCCATGGATTTACAGGAATCCCACCTGCTACTCTTCTGTTTGGACGACCTATTAAGGGACCCTTGGAAGCCCTAATGAGGACGTGGACCGAAGAGAAGGCGGAAGAGACCATAGTGATGGCCTCCAGGTATGTGGAGGAACTGAAAGGAAAGTTGGAAATGGTATGGAAATGGGCAATGTCAAATGTAAAAGCCGCCCGCAAGAAACATGCTGCCCTCTATAATAGGAAAGCCAAGGACTGTTCATTAGAACCAGGAGACAAGGTCATGTTACTTTTGCCAAGTGGTAGCAATAAACTGGAGTCTGGTTGGCAGGGGCCCTACTCGGTTGTGGAGAAGGTGCCCCGCACCAATTATAAGATCTCCAAAAGAGGGAAACTAAAGTCTTCCACACAAACCTGCTTAGGAAGCATTTCGAAAGAACAGAAACTACCAAGGTGCATCTGATGACACATGCGGTAGCTACGGAGGTCGAATGTGGAGAGGCTGCAGGGGTCGAGTACCCGTTACAACCTCAAGAAACAGCTCAGGATGTGGAAATAAACCCCACCCTGTTGGATTCACAACAACAAAGACTAAGAGAGGTCTTAACTGCACACTCAGCAGTGCTCACAAACAAACTGTGTCTCACAAGTCTGGTCCAGTTTGACATGAAACTGACCAGTATGGAACTGGTCAGACAGAGGTGTTATACTATACCTTATGTGAAGGAGGAAGCCCTCCTGGCTAAGATTGCTCAACTCCTGCAAGAAGGAATTATCTTCCCTTCTGAATCACCTTATAGTGCTATTGTTGTGCTCCTAAGGAAACCTAGTGGGGAGCATCAGCTTTGCATTGACTGCAGGCAACTAAATGTGGTAACAGAATTCCAAGCTGAACCTTTACCTGACCAAGGACAACTCTTTTCTAGACTTAGTAAAGCTAAGAATTTTTACAAGATATACCTCAGTAAAGGGTACTATCAGATCCCAATTAAGGAATAATTGTGCCCTTATTTGGCATACAGCACCCCTGAGGGTCACTATGAGTTCAACGTCTTAGCATTTAGCCTTAGCAATGCACCTAGTGTGTTCACCCGCATGATGAGGATGCTGTTAGGCCAACGTTACAACATTTTATGGATGACATCCTCATCGTGTCAGAGTATTTTGAAGAACACCTAGGCACTCTAGACACTTGCAGAAGTGGGGTTAACCACTAGGCCTTCTAAATGTAAATTGGCTTTTGGACAACTAGAATTTCTTGGACACACCATATCACAGGGTTATATGTGTCTGGAACAAAAGAACATTGATAAGTTGCACAAGGCAGCTAGACCAAAAACTAAGAAGGATGTGGGGTCCTTTGTATCTCTGTGTGGGTTCTATTAAAAGTGCATAAAAGACTTTAACACGATAGCCTCCCCACTTACAGATGCTACAAAAAAGGGAGCCCCGGATATCTTGTCAGCTGACTGTGAGACAGATTATGCTATGTTCAAGGGAAAGCTAATCTCCAAAATTATTCTTCAGCTCCCAGACCTCACTAAAACCTTTACATTGAGGACGGATGCCAGTAATATAGGAATCGGAGCAACTCCACTCCAGGAAGGTGTTCCCGATAGCATATGCCAGCTGGAAGCTCAACGGTGCTGAAAGAAATTATTCAACCATTGAGAAAGAGTATTTATCACTGGTATGGGCAGCGCAGAAGTTCCAGCCATTCTTGTACGGAACGAAATTCAAGGTGCAGAGTGCCCACCAGCCTCTGATGTTTCTGGCTGCTTCTAAAAAGCTCAACACTAGGCTGATGAGGTGGTCACTGTTACTCCAACCCTACACTTTTACAGTGGAGTACATCCCGGGGAAAGACAATGTAGGGGCAGATTTCCTGAGTCATCACCCTCCAGAAGAGGGAAAAGATCAAACTAACTTAGATGAAGGAGATATGCCAGATGGTTATCTTAGTCTCTAAAAAATCTGGACTCCAGAATTTTTTTTTTACCGGGGGCATATGTGACAGTACTGGCAATGACCACTGGCACTCCCCTAGCTACCTATATAGTTTATGATAGTTTAGGGCAGAATGTAGCCATACATAACACGTTATATTGGACGTTATTTTAACCCCATAGAAATGCGACTGTTGCTCGCGCCGATATTGGCGACATTTTCGTGTCGCCTAGCAACCGGCTATCCCCTGACATCCCGCAAAAACCAGATGAGACTAGTTTATGTTATTCAAATCCCTTTAGGGTTTACCATTTTAGCGACCAATCACAGCGCAGCGAGACTACCCTGTCCGACCAATGATAGAATGGGATGGGTAGCTCCTTCTTTTTGGTGAATGCGCATGGCTGTGGTCATGTGTCGTCCATGTGGAGTGCAAATGCCATTGTTTTGGTCATTTCATTTGCAGAGGCAGTAAAGTGTAGATCAGTCAGTTTAAAGTGAAGTTATTTTTACTAGCAAGTGTAGTTTCATATTATTTCGTTCTGGAATAATTTAGTGAGTCTTGAAAGATTTGAAGGGTAAATTGGCACTCTTCTTCGAATTATACAACTTTTGTATGTGTACCTATGTTCTCTAGTAATATATTATGTCAATGTTTAACACTCTTGACATCATTAAAAACAACATTGACTGGTTACAAGACAATGGCACAGTTGTTATAATTTCTACCACACTTGTTAAGTTTTTATATGAAGATTCCTCATAGCAAGGCTATTTTAACCCAAAACATCTTGTTTCAGCAAAACCTGAATTAGTTGTTTTTCAGGACATGCTTATTATAAAAGAGCTGTGAGATTTTTTCTTCAGCTAAAATAGTAACCCAAACAGGAAGCTCTTTCATCACAAGCAAACGTTTTTGGCCACATATGCAAGATATTGTCAGACAAAGGGAGATGATCATGTATCTGACACAGGGAGATGTTCATGTTTCTGACACAGGGAAATGATCATGTCTCTGACACAGGGAGATAATCCTTTTTCTGACACAGGGAGATAATCCTTTTTCTGACACAGGGTGATGATCATGTTTCTGACACAGGGAGATGTTCATGTTTCTGACACAGGAAGATGATCATGTCTCTGACACAGGGAGATGTTCATGTTTCTGACACAGGAAGATGATCATGTCTCTGACACAGGAAGATGTTCATGTCTCTGATACAGGGAGATGTTCATGTTTCTGACACAGGGAGATGTTCATGTCTCTGATACAGGGAGATGTTCATGTTTCTGACACAGGAAGATCATCCTTTTTCTGACACAGGGGGATGATCATGTTTCTGACACAGGGAGATGT